TGGCAATCCACTCACCTCAGCCTCCCAAAGGCGCGGGATTACAGGCTGAGCCACAGAGCCCGGCTTAAATTTCTTAGAGAAGTGGAAATTACAGGACTTAGTGGTCAGTTGGATAGAAATGTTTTAGGAGTCTGGGGAGTCTAGGCTGACTCCCAGATTTTTGGTTTGGGTAATCCCATAGCCATGTAGAGCAATTAAACTGATAAACAGAATTCAGAAAGAGGAAAGAACTTGGCTTCATTTGTTTTTGAGGAAAAATATAAGTTTGTATTTAAACTTTTGGAGCCTTAGGGCCTTGTGGGACATCATGGTTAAGGTAGTAGTTGACAGGGAGGGTCTAGAAGTCAAGAGATGCAACCCAGCCTGAAGATATTTGGGAGTCTTTAGGTTTTGGAAGTTTGAAAGCTATTGTTTTCTACAGTGTGGTATGAGATGATTTAAAGTGGTTCATAGATAAACTTTCCAATAGGTTGGAATTTAATGTGTATGGAAAAAGTAACTTGCACATCAAACCTGTGTGATATATGGACATTATCACCTAGGCCAAGTGAGCTCATTAAAAGGGAAAAACTAAGTAAAAAAATACATCTGATATGTGGAAATGGCAAAAATCCTGGTGAAGCTATACAAATGATGAAAAGTTCAGAAAGTGCTGTTTTAAGCCATGGGTGTGGTAGATAAGATTATCCAAGGAGAGAATAAGAGTAAGAAGAAAAGAGAGTTGATATTTGGGTGACGGGGAATGGAGAAGAAGAGCCCATGAAGGAGACTGCGGAAGAGCAGGCACACGAATAGGAGGAGAACCAGGAGAAGATGGTCTTTGGAATCCAAATGAAGAATTCTGAGGAGGAAGTGGTCCACAGCGTCAAGTAAGTTGTAAGCTGAAAAGTGCTCTTTGGATTTAGCAGTTATGGTAGATTATTTAGCTGGAAGCATCCAAACAGTTGAGTTAAAAAAATATTCATGTTACCGATAGCTGGTATTTATAGCATTTCTCATAGGCCTGGTATTCTTGTAAGCACTTGATATGTGTTAACTGATTAATGAGGCAGGTAGTATTGTTATCCCTATTTAATAGGTAAGGAAACTGTAGCTCAGAGAGGTTAATTAAGATTTCCAGTATCATACATTCAGGGTAATGAGAGAGCCAAGACTCAAGCCCAGGCAGTCTTGGCTCCAGAGTCTATGTTCTTAACCACTTTGCCACATCACCTCTCTAGTTAAAAACAAAGTAGAAAATAAAAGTTATACCAATGTCGTAATTAAAGTACAGTTGGTGCCATGTGTGGTATCAGTGAGAACTGCTAGTCTTGAATGACCAGTGTCAGTCTGCCAGGTATGAGCATGTTATTTGTATTGTAATCGACACCGTGATGTGTGGGCTGTGATAGTTCTTGGCTCTTTCTGTATTTATATACAAAAAAGTTTGTAAGACAAGTGATTTAAAAAATATATACATTTCCCACGATAGCATATATCCTATATTATGTGCCATACGTTGGGTGCTCTAATGTCTTAATTTTTCTGGTTATTGTTCACCTTTGGAGTTAAATTTAAGTTCTGAAAAATATTATTGATGAAGAGCAGGTCAGTCTCCAGATTTTGTAGATAACCAGTCTTTTGAAGAAGCTCTTTAATAATCCTTTTGAAAGTAATTTCCCTTGCATGGTAGAAATGAAGACCAAATTGCAGGAAACTGAAAGTGAATGAGAATGGAGGATTTGTATGGGTGAAAAAGGAAGAAGAATTCTTGGTGAGGTCGAAGAATAGCTGTGGTAGGAGACCAGGAAAACATGAGCTGTAGTAACTCTTGGCTATGGTCAGAGAGGAACTGATGAGAGTGAAAGATCTAAAAACTGGTTTAGACCTGAGCAGTGATCTGAGCATGACCCTGGGGAAGGAGAGCCTAGTGAGGTGGGCAATGAAGTTCATATTAGTTGAGGAGGTAGTTAAGTGGCAAGGCTAGAGCATCATCTGCATGGACTTTGATGTGACTGAGATGCTGATAGAATTTGGAGGAAAGAGAAAAGCACTTTGACTAGTTGCCATTTTTCTTGAAACATGACAGTAACTAAGAGGTAAATAGGTAGCAATGGCAAGGAAAAGTAGATGTAGTAAAATAGAGTGAGAGAATAGACTATGGAATAAGAGGACTTGGGTGTGAATCCTTTCTAGCTGGTGACATGAGCAAACTTAATTTTACTGATAATATTTTCCTATCTGTACAGTGGAGATGATGATAATTGGGCCTGCTAAGAAGAATTGCTGTGAGGATTAATGAGATGGTGCATGTAAAACATTTGGTACAGTATGTGACATGTAGTACAAATAGTTTGCTAGGAAGATTGTTACTGTTCTTCACTTCTGATATTGTGAGGTTTTCGTACAGCAAATTGGGCATAAGATGAATTGATTAAAACAATATATTTGCATTTCACGGACTGATAGTAGTCTTTCTCAAGATAAAAGAAACTTGGTTTGTCCTAACAATAGTGGAATAATAATGATGGAGTGAAAAAAGGTATAAGGAATAGTGTTGATATGCTGGTGATGTTAGGAAGAGAAAGCTATTTCTTGGGCAAGAGCTAGAAGTAATAAAATGCTGCATTTGTCAGTGATATTCAGGTTATATAGCTATTCTCTAATAATTGTAAACATCCTTATTGCTGAACTTTATTTATTTATTTATTTTTGAGTTGGCATCTTACTCCGCCCAGACTGGAGTGCAATGGCACACTCATGGCCACCCCAGTGTCGACCTGCTGGGCTTAGGTGTTCCTTCTACCTCAGCCTTCCAAGTAGCCGGAACTACAGGCACGTGCTACCACACCTGACTCATTTTTTAACTTATTGTCGAGACAAGGTCTCGCCCAAGTTGCCCAGGCTGGTCTCGAACCTGCAGGCTCAGGCATTCCACTCGCCTTGGTCTCCCAAAGTGATGGGATTACAGGCTGAGCCAACGTGCCCGGTCATTGTTGAACTTTCTTTAGGAAAAACTCTTAGTCTGAAACTTTAGCTCTAATTCCCTTTTCACCCCATTGAAAGTATTTTTAAAACATGGCTTTAGATAATGTGAATTTTTTTTTCCTTTTTGCAATCTTGCAGTGCTGATTGTAGATGGCAGTAGTTGTAAGAGCATTAGGAGAAGAAATTGTTAGGAGGATGGAAGGCTGGATGTGGCCTTGGGGAGTTAGGAGATTGACAGACTCACCCTGTACCACTCTAGCCTTGCTTCTTTGTCCAAGACAGAAACACACTGAGAGATGTATAAGAGAATATGAGTAGCTGATAGGAAACAATTTTCTCAGTGGAGTCAGGATTTAGGTCAGCCCAGGAGGTTAAGAATGTAGCAGAGTTTGTGTATGATGAAATGGCACATTTCACAGAATGCAGTAAAAGTAGGCTGGAAGCAGTGGGAAGATATCTTTTTAATTTAGCAAACACTTATTTGAGGACATATCATGTGCTAGGCACATACAGTGATATGTAAAATGCCCTTAGTTATTTTTCATCTAAAGTAGACATGTGAACAGATAATCTTAGAGTAGAGGTGGTAAATGTGTGAACTGAGGAAAGGAAGAAAAGATTAAACTGTTTGGAGAGAGTCAGGGGAAAAAGAACAGCATCATAGGGACAAGAATCTTCCTGAGCTCAGTGTTCTGATTGGAGTTATTTCCTTGGGGCATAGGTTCTAAGTCCTTTTCTTTTTCTTTTTCTTTTTTAATTTTAAAGATATGGGATACAATTCAGGGTTAGCTATACATATGTTCATTATGCATGTACCTTTGTTGATGAGATGTGCCCCTCCCCAAGCAGTTTCCCACTACTGCCAATCCTTTTTTTATAGAATTACAATAATTGTTCAACTTCCACTTACAAGTGAAAACATGTGGTACTCAATTCTTTGTTTCTATGATAGGTCACTCAGTATTATAGATTATAAGTCCATTCAGTTTGCTGTGCAGTTCATAATTTTGTCTTTCTTTATGGCTGTGTAATATTCCATTGTGTATATATACCACCTTTTTTTTGTCCAGTCCTCTTTCGATGGGCAACATGGTTGGTTCCATGTTTTTGTGTCTTTTTCTAGTATAACATAGAAGCCAGGAAGACTTCTCGTTACTAATTTGGGTTTGTGTTGTTTCCTTAGGCTTGTACACCATGGACAGTTTTGCTGAGGGAGATTCCACTGTAGCGAATTATGCCTTGTTAAAAGATTGCTCTTATATGGACGATTGTATTATTGCTCCTGAACTTCTGGCTGATGATTATGTTCGTGTGACTCAGCTTTACTGTGACAGGATGGTAAGTATATTTGCTAATTTTTTTTGGTTTTGACATTGTGTCTTGATGGTTTTCTGGTTTAGGGCTATCTGAGTAAGGTATTTTTGTGGTACATGGGTTTTGATAGCGAGGTCCACGTGCTTTTGAAGAGGTGATTTCAGAAGGGAAAGCAAGCAGTGCCTCAACAATAAGAATGTGGAATATCAGAGATGAGTGATGGTGAAAGGTGATTTTCTGTTGGAGAATTAGAAAAGCTCTTGGGGAGAGCTATAGAAACAAACTCAGGAAATATTGTAAGAAAGTCCTTAAATTAAGACTCATTTGGGTTCTAGGGGGCCCACACATCTGTCAGCAGATACTGGGATCTGCAGATAGCTTCTGAATCATAGCTCCTCCCTTAATTAAATCTCAAAAGTGCAAAAAGCACAGGCCCCCACCCCCAGTGCAGCTTGAGAATTGAACAAAACTAGAGGATCTACACACAGAAGAATAGGAGATTGAGCAAACAGAAATAAAGCTATTCCTCCTATCACTGAACAGCAGAATTAAAGAAGAGGTTAAAAAAAGTGGGGAGGAAAACCTATTGAAATGAAGAAAAACCAAAGGAAGAATATGAGCCTCACACAGACCCCTGGGAGGTCAGACAATGAGAATACAGACTTCGGAACTCAAACAATGTAGAGCCCTCAGAATGACTAATCTCAAACCACAAACCCAAATATCAAGGTATTAATAGAGAGAATAAATAGAAATGAGGAGAGTCAAGAGGAAAGAATGAAGGAGTTGATAACTGAGATAACAGCAATAAAGAATGCAGTGAATGAAATAATTAATGAATTGATAAGCATGGAAAGCAGAATTAACCAAGCAAAAGAAAGAATCTCAGAGCTTGAGGGCCAAAATATGGGACTAACCCAAACTGTTAAAAACATAAAGAAGCTTAAAAACACAGAACAAAATCTCCAAGAGATGAGCAATTATTTCAAGAGGCTGAACCTAAGATTAATTGGATTCCCTGAGGCAGATAGAGAGACAGAGATCACCCTGGGACAAACATTCCATGAAATTATCCAAGAAAACGTCCCTCATCTTATCAGTGACATGACCATTCAAGCACAAGAGATTCAGAGAACCCATACACCCATAGTAATTCGCCTACACAAAGTAGGTATAAAAGAAGAAATCCTAAAGGCAGCAAGAGAGAAAGGTCAGACTACTTACCCAGGAAGACCAGTTATAATAGCAGCAGACTTATCTACAAAATCACTTCAGCCTAGGAGAGCTTGAGGCCCAGTCTTCAAAGTTCTCAAAGATAAACAATTTCAACTAAGAATTACTACCCAGCCAAGCTAAGTTTCATCAGTGATGGAGAATTAAAATCCTTCCCAGACATTCAATCCCTAAGAGTTTACGCTGCCTTCAGACCAGCTCTATAAAGAAACACTTAATGTGTTAAACAGAAGAAAGGAAAAAAAGAATGACAATGTCCTTCCCAAGAATGTAGGGAAAAGATTGAAAGCACACATGAACCATCCCCAAAATCAAAAGAAAGACAACAAACAAATAAACAGTAGAAATAACAACAAACTCTGTAAGAACCTTGTGACAGGGATAAACTCTCACATCTCAATAATTAGCCTGAATGTGAATGGACTAAATGTACCACTGAAAATACACAGAGTGGCAAATTGGGTAAAATATCATGAGGCAACAATATATTGTCTCCAAGAGACTCATCTCACCAGAAAGGACACTCACATATTCAAAGTAAGAGGATGGGAAAAAAAATTTCAGGCAAATGGAACACAAAAGAAAGCAGGAATCGAGATTGTAATATCAGACAAAATATCCTTAAAGCTATCAAAAATTTAAAAAGATACAAAAGGTCATTACATAATGATAAAAGTTTCAATCTATCAACAAGAAATATCCCTTCTAATCATATATGCACCCCACATAGCACTAACTTTCATAAAGCAGCTTCTAGGTAAACTTTAAAAAGATATTGACTCTAATGCTATCATAACTGTGGACTTAAATACCCCCTAACAACCGTAGACAGATCATTAAGACAAAAAGTCAGCAAGGAGATCCGGAACCTCAAAATGACGCTTGACCAAATGTACTTAATTGATACCTATAGAACACTCCACCCAGCAACCATGGAATATACATTCTACTCATCACCATATGGAACTTACTCTAAGATTGACCACATCCTCGGCCATAAATCAAGTGTAAACAAATTCTTTAAGATTGATTCTGCAGTGCACCTTCTCAGACCACAGTGGAATAAAAATAAATATCAACACCAACAAAGTTCCCCCCAAACCCACAAAGACGTGGACACTAAACAGTATGATGCTGCCGGGCTCGGTGGCTCAGCCTGTAATCCCGCGCCTTTGGGAGGCTGAGGTGAGTGGATTGCCTGAGCCCGCGGGTTCGAGACCCGCCTGGGCAGTGAGACCTCATCTCTACAATAAATCAAAAAATCAGCCGGGCGTGGTAGCGCATGCCTGTAATTCCAGCTACTTGGAAGGCTGAGGCGGAAGGATCGCCGGAGCCCAGCAGGCGAGGTTGTGGTGGCCGGGAGCGGCCACTGCACTCCAGTCTGGGCGACAGAGTGAGACTCCAACTCAAAAAAAAAAAAAAAAAAAACAGTATGATGCTAAACAACTCCTGGGCCAACACGGAAATCAAAACAGATTAAAAGATACCTGAAAAAAACTGAAAATGAAGAAATGTCTTACCAAAATTTCTGGAATGCCATGAGAACAGTACTAAGAGGGGAATTCATATCTTTGCAAACACACATGAAGGAAATGGAAAGATCACAAGTTAACAGCCTAACAAATCAACTAAGGGAGCTGGAAAAGCAAGACCACCAGAACTCTAACTTCAGCAGAAGAATCCAGATCACCAAAATAAAAACCCAAATTTGGGACATGGAAAACAAAAATATAATACAAAAAGTCAGTGAAACCAAAAGCTGGTTTTTTGAAAGGATAAACAAAATTGAGGGACCCCTAGCTAGACTGACCAAGAATAAGAGAGAAAAAGTCCAAATAAACACGATCAGAAATGCAAAAGATGAAGTCACAACTGACACCGAAGAAATACAAAAAGTTATCAGAGATTACTATGTAATCAAATTCAAAAACCTAAATGAAATGGAGGTCTTTCTGCCTTTTTTTAAAAAAATTTTTATTATAGAGACAAGGTTTCACCAAGTTGCTCAGGCTGATCTTGAACCCGTAGGCTCAAGCAATCTTCTTGCCTCAGCTTCCCAAAGTACTTGGATTACAGGCTGAGCCACCATGCTCGGCAGGACTTTCTTACATCACACAACCTCCCAAGGTTGAAACAAGAAGAAATCAAGACCTTAACAGACCAATAACAACCCAGGAAATTGACTATGTTAAAAGAAAATTACCCTGCCCCCCCAAAAAAAACCCTGGACCAGATAACTTTTCAGCAGAATTCTACAAAACATAGAAGAAGGAGCTGATACTAGTACTATTGAAAGTATTCCAGGCAATTGAGAAAGATGGAACTCTCTCCAAATCATTTTATGAAGCTGACATCACACTGATACCTAAACTGGGTAAAGATCCAACAAAGAAAGATACCTATAGTTATAGGCCAGTATCCTTGATGAGCATAGATGCTAAAGTTGTCAACAAGATTCTATCAAACCAGATCCAACAGCACATCTCAAAAATCATCCACCATGATCAAGTAGGCTTTATCCCTGGGATACAGGGCTGATTCAACATCCACAAGACCATAAACGTAATTAAATACATAAGCAGATGTAAAGACAGAAACCACATGATTATATAATTAGATGCAGAAAAGACCTTTGATAAAATCCAGCACCCCTTCTTGACAAAAACCCTCGAACATCTAGGCCTAGCTGGAGCATACCTCAAAATAGTAAGAGCCATCTATGAGAAACCCACAGCCAACATACTGCTAAACACATTTTCCTTGAAAACCAGAACAAGACAACGATGCCCTCTCATCCATCCTATTCAACATAGTATTGGAAGTCCTAGCTAGAGCAATCGGATGAGAAGGAAATCAGAGGTATCCAAATAGAAAAAGAGGAAGTTGTTATCCCTGTTTGCAGACAACATGATTCTATACCTTGAAACCCAAGAGAATCTGTCAAAAACCTCCTTGCACTGATAAAGGACTTTAGCAAAGTCTCAGGGTATAAAATAAATGTGCAAGAGTCAGTCACATTCCTATATACCAACAATAAACAAACCCAAATAAAAAGCACAATCCGATTCACAATAGCCACAAAAAGAATGAAACATCTTGGCATCTTCCTAACCAGAGAAGTCAAAGACCTTTACAACAAAAACTACAAAACACTGCTCAAAGAAATCAAAGATGACACAAACAAATAGAAAGATATTCCATGCTTACGGATTGGAAAAATCAACATTGTTAAGATGTCCATCCTACCCAAGACAAGACAATCTACAGATTCAACGCAATACCCATTAAATTACCAGTTGCATTCTTCTCAGACCTGGAAACTACAATACAGAAATTCATATGGAAACATAAATGACCACAAATAGCCAAAACAATCCTCAGCAAAGAAAAAAAAAAGTGGTAGGCATCATGCTCCCAGACTTTAAGCTTTATTATAAAGTTACAATAATCAAAACAGCCTGGTATTGGTACAAGAACAGGCATATAGACCAATGGAACAGGATAGAGATTCCAGAAGGAAAACCCCAATTTCTCAACCAACTCATTTTCAACAAAGCCTCCACCACCAACCACTGGGGAGAGGAGAACCTATTCAGTAAATGGTGCTGGGAAAACTGGCTGACCATATGCAGAAGATTAAAACAAGACCCCTACCTATCACCATACACAAAAATAATTTCTAAATGGATCAAAGAGCTAAATGTAAAACCTCAAACTATAAGCACCTTAGAAAATGCAGGAGACACCCTTATGAAAATTGGAACTGGCAACCAATTCCTGATCAAAACCCTAAGTTCCCATGCCGTAAGAGATAAGATAGACAAGTGGGACCTCATCAAACTGACAAGCTTCTGCAACGCCAAAGAAACCATTGAGAGAGCAAGGAGACAGCCCAGAGACTGGGAAAAAATATTTGCCAACTGTATATCTGACAAAGGCCTTAACATCTAGGATCTACAAGGAACTCAAACGTGCTGAAAAGAAAACAACTAATAGCTCCGTTACAGAGTGGGCTAAAAGTATGAATAGACACTTCTCAAAAGAAGATATATGAGTAGCCAACAGATACATGAAAAAATGCTCAGCCTCACTAGTCATCAAAGAAATGCAAATTAAAACCACACTGAGATACCACCTAACTCCAGTCAGGAGGGCCATTATCAATAAATTAAAAAAAACAGCCGATGCTAGAGAGGATTTAGTGAAAAGGGAACACTTCTACGGTTGGTGGGAGTATAAACTAGTACAGCCTCTGTGGAAAATAGTTTGGTGATTCCTACAAGATCTAAAAATCGACCTACCATACAACCCCACAATCCCTCTACTGGTAATATACCCAGAGGAACTCAAATCACTCTATGAAAAGTTACCTGCACATGCATGTTTATTGCAGCATTATTCCCAGTAGCAAAAACATGGAACCAACCGTGCTGCTCATTGAATGAAGACTGGATAAGAAGAAATGTGGTACATATACATTACGGAATATTACACAGGCATAAAGGACAAAATTATGAACTTCACAGCAACTTGGATGGTCTTAGAGGCTATAATACTGAATGTTTTATCACAGACAAAAAGAACTGAGTGTCACATGTTTTCACTCATAAGTGGACCTTGAACAGTTACCATAATACTATAAGAAAAGGATTGGCAGTAGTAGGAAACTGCTGGGATGGGATCGGTTGGGATTTTCAGTATTGAAATCTGCTGGGGGAGCTAGGGTACACCTCATCAACAAGGGTACCTACATAATAAACATTTGTATACCTAACCCTGAATTGTACTCCACATCTTTAAAATAAAAAAATAGGCGGGGTGAGGTGTTTCAAACCTGTAATCCCAGCATTTTGCGAGGCCAGAGTGAGAGGATTGCCTGAGCCCATGGGTTCGAGAACAGCCTGGGGAAACTTGGCGAGACCTCATCTATAATAAAGCAAAAAAATTAGCCAGGTGTGGTAGTATGCGCCTGTAGTTTCAGCTACTTGGAAGCCTAAGGCGGAAAGATTGCCTGAGCCCTGTGGATCAACACTGGGGTTGCCGTGAGTGTGCCATTGTACTCCAGTCTGAGTGACGGAGTGAGACTCCAACTCAAAAAATTAAAACAAAACAAAAATCAACAAAAAAAATTTTTAAAAAGAGTCATTGAAGATGTGTACAAAACATGTAACTGAAAGTTTTTAGATTATTTCTGATAATTCTTAGATTAAAAATAAAAGACTATACTTTAGCTTTGTTTTTTTTTGTTTTTTTAGTTGAAGTCTCATTCTGTTGCCCAGGCTGGACTGCAGTGGCACTCATGCTTATGGCCACCCCAGCTGCTGGGCTACGGTGATCCTTCCACCTCAGCTTTCCTAGTAGCCGGAACTACAGGCGCGTGCTACTACGCCCGGCTAATTTTTGGTTTATTGTAGAGACAAGGTCTTGCCAAGTTGCCCGAGCTGGTCTCAAACCCACGGGCTCAGGTAATCCACTTGCCTTGGCCTCCTAAAGTGCTAGGATTACAGGCTGAGCCACCGAACCCGGCCACTTTTACATTTTACCAGTTACAAATCAAAAGAATTTTCTTCTTTTTAGGGTGTGCAATATAAAGATTATGCCCAAAGTGAAAGAAATTTAGGTGAGTGCCTTGGTATTTTAATGTTAATTTATTGGAAAACTATAATGGGAGGTCTAGCCGTGCAGTCATAGAAGCATTAAGAGCTTTATATGTCCTTTAAAAACGTATTCTTACTGTTTTTTCCCCAATCAAAGCCTTTTTGTTAAGATAGAGTTTTATTCAACACTCTTAAATATTCTTAACATTTAACAGTTTAAAATATTTTATCCATTCAGTTCTTGCCTTTTCATATCCATTTTTACCTTTATATAACAACAGTGTTGTTTCATTCCAAAATGAGACACTAATGTTAATTTCAAACTTTTTTTAATTAAGAATTTGACATCTGCAGTATATGGTGTAGTAAACCAATATCTGTCCTGCAAGATTATTGTGATGCCATTAAAATAAACATCTTCTGGCCCCTTCTGTTTCAACATCGAAACTGTTCTGTAATATCACGATTGCATCCCTGTGTGGAAGTCAAGTAAGTTACTCTATATTATTCATGTTGCACGAACAGTGGTAAGCATATTGCCCAGTACTGAGAAATGCCAAGTGCAGTGAAGGCTTATATCTTACTCTTGTTTGCTGCTCAACTTTACTTTTGTTTAATAGGGTAGAAAAAATAAATACTTGAGATTTGGATATGAATGAATAATTGCAACAATGCTCAATGAATAGTATTATATAGACTTGAAGCTGAGTCAGGGAGAATTAATATATTTGTTTATAAATATCAGTGTTGTAGTACAGAAGAATGAAAAAATAAGTATTTTGTCCATTTAATAAACAACTTAGTTATTGTAACCTAGAGTGAAGAAAAAGACAACTTAATTTGTTTTAAGTAGTTTGAGATATAACGTATAGTTAAGCATAAAGTTTAATGAATTTGTGTATATGAGAACCTAATCTTTGAAAAAATAAATTTGTGTTTAAGCAATTCTCGTGCTTCTGAGATAAGTTTGAAGAAATTACAACATCTTGAATTGATGGAAGATATTGTGGATTTGGCAAAGAAAGTTGCTGTAAGTGGTAGAATGTAGGTTTATTTCCCCCCTATTTAAAGAATAATAAAAATAAGCATTTGTCACAGATGAAAGTGGGTCCTGGTTCATAGAAATCCTTGTCACAGGTTCTAAAAGTGATGGGCTCTATCTTTTGATATTAAATCACATCACCATCAACAAGTATTTGGTCTTTGGGATTGGAGCATCAGGGCAGGTTTGAGGAGCTGTCCTTGTACTATGTTGAGGTTTTTTGTGTGTTTTGTTTTTTTGAAAGCTATTTGATAATTTTTCTTATTTCTTGAGTTGGTTATGGACTCAAGTATTGTTCTTGATACTATTCTAATTACAAACTTAAGTTTAAAAAGGGCATTCTCATGTTTTTTTTTCCCTGTGATCATCATTTGCGTAGCATACAAGCCACATGTCTTAAAGTTACACTAAATAATTTTACCACTAAAACCCTGTGGAAACTATTTCTGATTTCTTGTTTTAGGGTCTTAAAAGGGTAAATTGATCGTTGTAAGTGCTTGTAGGAAATATACTACTGTGTACACATAGTAGTATTCCTAAAATGTAGGATTTATTTTCATGAGAAAATTCAAGTATGATTGACTGAATAAGAAAAAGATATGTGTTTTGTTCTTTTTTTATTTTTCAGAATGATTCATTCCTTATTGGAGGCTTATTGAGAATTGGTTATAAAATAGAAAATGTACGTACCATAGAATCCAGCACACCCACTGTGATAAGTGTCTCATTTCCTCGTCTGTTGATTCCATACACTCAGTGTTTTATATGCAGTGTTTGGTAGTATTGATTTCTATATTTTTCTTAAACAGCCTCCTCATTTTGGAGGTTTGCATCATTTCCATTCTTTTACCCATATACGTAGTATAGTGTTGAGCTTCTTGTACAAGTTGATTCTTTATCTTCTTTTAGATTATTTACGTGACTTATGTTCCCCAAGTGAAATTATTAAGTCCCTGGTATGAATATTTTTGATATGTAATTACTAGGTAATCTCCAGATTCAATGGTAAATCAGTTTTTAATGCTATTGGTGACATAAACATCTACATGCTTCCCTTAAGCCTGGTACTAACATTGTTACCTCAACTACTTAATTTTTAAAGTTATTTCAGTATGAATAACATTTCTGTGAATTCTTGATCCTTCATGAAGATTATTGTGCTGAGTATCCATTTACCCAGCCACATTCTCCTCTTGTTTATTTCCTTATTCTTCTATTTGCCACAGATCAGGTAAAATTTGTAGTCTCCTTGATGAGCCTTAGTTTATACCTACCCCAGGCCACTTCTGGACAGATTGTAGACCTCAAATTCCAGGTCTGTAATCATTGCAGAAGCATCTTGAGTTCTGAGGGTGGTCTGAGGTCACCTGAATAGGTAACATATGTGAGTCCATGGTATCTATTTTTTTTTTCTGAGTTGGAGTCTCACTCTGTTCCCAGGCTGGAGTGCAGTGGCACACGCACGGCCACCCCAGCATCGACCTGCTGGGCTTAGACGATTTTTCTGTCTCAGTCTTCCAAGTAGTTGGAACTACAGGCACATGCTAACATGCCTGGCTAATTTTTGATTTATTGTAGAGATGAGGTCTCACCAAGTTGCCCGGTCCTGTCTCCAACCCACGGGCTCAGGCAGTCCACTTGTCTCGGCCTACCAAAGTGCTGGGATTACCGGCTGAACCACCAAACCTGGCCCATGGTATCTATTAACTCGTATATGTTAGAGTCTGGCTACTCTAGGTTGTATGCTGGAGTAGCAAAAAATGGGGCTGTATGAGTTTTGTATTAAGGATCTGAAATATTTGTGTAAGATAAATTTATAATGCCACATGCAAATTTAAAATTAATATCCAAATCCTATTATTTATTACTCTTTTGAAACAGAAAATCTTGGTGATGGAAGAAGCTTTGAATTGGGTCAAATACACAGGCGATGTAACAATCCTAACTAAACTAGGATCAGTTGACAATTGTTGGCCTATGTTAAGTGTTTTTTTTACTGAATGTAAGTATAAGTGCTTTAAATTGCTACATGAATCCATATTTACAGATATTATTTGGGAAAATGCGATTTAGGTTATGTGATTTCTGATTTATCTTGGGATTTTAAAAACGTTGTCTTTTGTTATATGTACCTAAACCAGAGAACCTTAACCTTGAAGTTAGTTTTACTCTGTATTTTCTGTCTTAATGATTATTATGACGTTATACATTTAAAAGTTTTACCTAATGGATGTCATAGGTTATTATATATAATACTCAAAGAAAGAGACCATAACTGGAGCTCATGTATTCTCCTTCATAAGAAAAAGTAACAGAAACTAAGACTATGATTTTCATTTTCCAGATGAATCTCCCATTCTTTAATATATGAGGAAACTACCTTACATATTTCTTTTACTTTGTGAAATGTTTTTCACAAAGAAATGAAGATCATTGCAATGTTAGCTGTGTTTTTATAATATAGTTATAGGAATCTTAAAACAGGAAAGGTTTGGCTCTTTAGTAGATGATGACCAATGATTTGCCATCTCTACTGAGAAGAAGGCAAATTTTGCACTCTTGACTTAGGTACTAGAGCAGAATTAAATCTGAATGAAGCCACATCTTTCTGATAGGTTTGTTAGACACTGGGATGTTTTACACCATTAGAGGTTGTTCTCACCATTGTTTTGGAGGCCTTTAATTATAAACTAGAATTTATGGTGAAAGTAGAGAAGCAGTATGATGTGAGCATATCTGTTTAGAATCATTTCTGACTTTATATTCTCTCCTTTATAATAGCCATACATGGTGGCTGTTATCCCTATTTTATTAGTGAGCACACTAAGACTTTGAGAGATTAAGTGATATTTCTGCAGTGTAGTAGAACCTAGATGAGATGTCAGTTCTCTCTGATCTCAAAACCCAATTTTCCTTCTAAAATTCTACTTTGTCTCTTAGAATTACTTTATTTTATTTGATGACCTTTTCAGGTTCTTTTATGAATCTTAAATTTTAGGTACCCCTTTTGCATTAGAAATGAATGTGTTTGTATAGAGGTTTAACTATAGTTTTGTTGCAATAAAAACTGCCACTTAAAACATTTGTTCTATATAATAACTTAAAATGCAGAAAATGAGATCTCATAAAGTTTGGTTATTTACTGCATTTTAAGTAGTTTTTCAGTTTGTTCAGTTTTTCAAAAATACTGAATAAAGACGTTTACAATTCTTTATTTATTATATGTTGAGTGTCAAAACTCTAAATCTGAAATACTCCAAAATCCTAAACGTTTTGAGCTTTGATATGGCACTCAATAGAAATGCTCATTGGAACATTTTAAATTTTGAATTTTTGGATTTGGGATGCTTAACCAGTATAATGGAAATATTCCAAACTCTAATAACACTTCTGATCCCAAGCATTTCAGATAAGCGATACTCAACCTGAATATTAAATACGTCTTAGAAAGTAATTTTTTAGGTTTTTGTTTTCATATATTTTTGTTGAATGTTATGCTTGGTATACCCTTGGTGCTTGAAAATGTTTTTTGAATTGACTTAAGCAATTATGAGGCCTATTTGGAATATGTTATGACAGAGCATTTGTTGTAACCGCAGTTAAAACTAGTGTAATAATTAAGTGTTTTTTATGACTAGCAGTAAAAACTGAGATTGAATTCATAGCAAGTAATAAATCTAATATTTTCTGAAACATCAGTTAGTTTATCTTTTTACTATGCTATTTAAAACACATGCAAGATTACAAGGAACATATACTATTTAGAAAGAATAATAGCAAACTGAACTTTATGAATTTACCTAAGAATTAGAATATTATCAATACCAATTTGTTTTTTTAACATATGTTCTCTCTCACTCTCTCCTAAAAATAAAATTTAGATAAGTATCACATAACTAAAGTTGTAACAGAAAACTGCAATTTACTTGAAGAATTTAAAACCCAAAGTTGTATGGATTGTATAGAGGTGAGGATTAATATTTACTTGTAAATATATTTTAAGATTTGCCTATTAGAACTTTTAACATTCAGAGGAAGTTAATAAAACCTCTTTCTGACAAAATACAAGGAATCTACTGTAAAATTAAATAACCTGTTTGAGGGAAAATTGTAATAGATTTTGATTTAGAATTTTTTTGAATGAATAATATCTTAATTGGAATTTTCTTATGCTTTTAAAAGTTAACAAAAATTAAAATTTGATTTTTTTCAGCTACAGTCTTTAAAAAAATATATTATCTGTGCCATATCTTTGGAGATCAACTAAAATCTTTAATTAGTTGAGGAAATTCGATTTTCTTAGGTAACAGCTTACTGAGATGTAATTCACATGCCATACTGCTCATTTATAGGAAATATTATTTTAACTCAACTTTTATTTATTTATTTTTTTGAGTTGGAGTCTCACTCTGTCACCCAGGCTAGAGTGCAGTGGCATGCACGCTCACGGCCACCCCAGCGTTTACCTGCTGGGCTCAAGCAATCCTTCTGCCTCAGTCTTCTAGGTAGCCTGAACTACAGGCACACGTTACCATCCCACTAATTTTTGATTTATTGTAGAGACGAGGTCTCGCCAAGTTGCCTGGGCTGGTCTCGAGCCCGCGGGGTCAGGCAATCCACTCACCTTGGCCTAAGTGCTGAGCCACCAAGCCCAGCCTTAACTCAACTTTTAAAAAAAGAATTTAGGAAAATATTTAACATTCTATTGAATTCTCTAATCAAAGCCTTCGATGTGTAGTTTATTTTAGTTAATTTATTTTTAAAATTTTGAGTTTTTGAAGTGAAAAGTTTTCTTTTTCTTTTTTTTGAGTCAAAGTCTCACTCTGTCACCCAGTCTGGAGTGCAGTGGTAAGATCATGGCTCACCGCAGCCTCGACCTCCTGGGCTCATGTGATCCTTCTGCCTCAGTCTTCCCAATAACTGGGACCACAGGCACATGCCATCACGCCTGGCTGATTTTTTTCAATGTTTTTGTAGAGACGAAGCCTTGCTATGTTTCCCAGGCTGGTCTCAAACTCCTGACCTCAAGCAATCCTCCCTCATTGGCCTCTCAAAGTACTGGGATTACAGACATGAGCCATCAGGACCGGCCCAGCATCTTTCATATATATATTCTTGTTAACCTGTTACCTCATTTTTTTGGTAATTAATGGTAATCAACATTTGCTATGTTTTATTGATTTACATGTTTTTTAAGTACTGAGGTTTATTGAATAATAACACATTTGCTAACCTAAAGTTAAAATTCTACTACACATCTGTTTTTTATCCTGCCATACTTTATTACTTTATTAATAAGGTATATTTAAAAGTGGATCTGCCAAATACCACATACAAGTTTTAGTGATTATTCCTTATGTGATGGCTTTACTTATTTTTAATACTCTTTTAGAAAAGTTAGTATTGAGTCATTGGAGACAGGTTTCTTTAAATATCACATCAAAATATTGGGTATTAGATTTTCATTTTCTATGTAAATAATCCCCTAGATTATTTCTGATATTATAGATAGAAACCCAGGTCCATTTTTCTTAGGTATTAGGTTCTTGATTGTCTTTGGAGCTAATTGATGGGTCTTCTTTCACCTTGGTTTCTCAGCAAGGAGAACTAATGAAAATGAAAGGAAATGAAGAGTTTTCCAAAGAAAGATATGATATAGCTATTATCTATTACACCAGAGCCATTGAATTTAGGTAAGAGCAAAATAAAATAAAAAGATCCTTTTTTTGTGGCAGGTCAAGTTAGAATGCTAGTCAGAAGAAGGAATTGGGGAGTATCTTTCAATTCGTTCTGCAGAATAGATTTTCTTATCTTTAGGCAATAGAAGGATTAGATATGGCCTGGATCGTAGAACCTAATTAAGTAGTATAACTCAAGCAAATCAGGCAAAATTGTGAATTTGGTTCTACCCTCCTCTATTTTCTTTGAAACTTTCTAATACAGAGTCATCTTCTGCTTTGTCTTGTTCTCATTTTGCTGTTGACCATGTCCTTCTTTTTTTTTTGAGACGTAGTTTTTCTCTGTCATCCAGGCTGGAGTGCAATGGTATGATCATAGTTCACTGCAGCCTCGAACCCCTGGGCTCAAGTGATCCTCCTGCCTTCCCTTCCCAAGTAGCTAGGACTACAGATATGTGCCACAATGCCTGACTTTTTTTTTTTTTTTTTTGTAGAGATGGGGTCTTGCTATGTTGCCCAGGCTGTTCTTGAACTCCTGGCCTCAAGTGATCCACCTCCCTTGGCCTCCCAAAGTGCTGGGATTACAAGTATGAGTCCCTGGCACCTAGCCCTTCCAAATTATTAACTGATCAAAAAAGGTTCGATTCTAACACTTAAGATGCCACCCATTTGGGGAGTTTTGCTTTCTGAGAGGGAACTTAAAGGTTAATAGACATTGTTGACAGAATGCATGTGCTCTCACCTGCCTTGTCTTGTCTTTGTTTAGCTGCTAAAATTTTATAGCTTTCCTCCAGATGTGCCTCATATTCTGTTTCTACTAACAGTCTCAGCTGGGCCACCTAATATTGTAGCAACCTTAGGAGGGTACTCTGTAGGCACTTCTCTTTCCTACCTTGCCCATTTCCACAGGGAATGAGTGAATCCAGTTAGCATGCCAATTCCAAAAGGCTGCTATTCTGTTCTCTTAAATTAAAGGTGGAAGAAAGAGAGAATACATTTCACCACACGTAGGAAAACTCAAAAGAACAAAATTTGAAATGAAGGTGTTTAAGTTGCTGTTCCAATTTGCACGCTTCCTTTGGCAGAGTCCTTTGTCAAAGTGGCATAGTGCTGACTTATATAAGTAATCCTGTATTCTAAAGTTATGACATACTTTGTGGTTTTCTATCTTTTTAATATGTCTCATTTGATCCTCACAACAGCTTTACGAGTTAGAGCAAGTAGAATTAGCTTCATTTTGAATACAGGGAAGTTTAGGTTGGTTTGAACAAGGTTATATAAATAGGAAGTATAGGAACTGGGACTTACTTAGCCAGTTAAGATTCCATATCCAGTATTCTTTTTACTCTGTCACACAATGTAAAGTTAAAAATATTTTTTTCATGCCTTGTGTTTTCTGTGTGATTTTTGTTTGTTTCATGTGTAATGTGCTGTACTGACTAAACATTATTTCTTTTTAAGACCTGATAACCACCTTCTTTATGGTAACCGAGCTCTTTGTTTTCTTCGTACTGGACTATTTAGGTATGTTGATTAAAGTATTTCAACCACTGAATTATGCTAAATACCCCTTTTAGGAAACATTTCTGTTTTACAGGTATGCAAGAAAATTTCTGAATAGTTTTTTTGGTAGTAATACTTAAATGATTAAAAGAAGACATGGCTGGGCTCGATGGCTCAGCCTGTAATCCCAGCACCTTGGGAGGCTGAGGCGAGTGGATTCAAGCCCGTGGGTTCAAGACTTGCCCAGGCAACTTGGTGAGACCTCACCTCTACAATAAATAAAAAACCAGCCAGGTGTGGTATCACGCACCTGTAGTCCTGGCTACTTGGAAGGCTGAGGTGAAACGATTACCAGAGCCCAGCAAGTCGACCCTGGGATGACCATGAGTGAGCCACTGCACTCCAGCCTGGGTGATAGAGTGAGACTCCTACTCAAAAAAAAAAAAAAAAAAAAAAGACACTAGGCTTTTATATATATTAGCAACAGTGAAAGGTGCAGCTATTCTGGTTGAGTGCAAACATATGTTATGCATTATTTAAAGTGCTTTTACATATGTTATGTAATTCTTACGGCAAGATGGTAATGTTATTCTCCATATTTTACATGTGGACCAGTCATACCACCAGTAAATAGTGATGCCAAGATTTGAACCACAGATCTTATCTGATGATGTTAAAGTCTGTATTTATAACATCTATAATATATTTCCTTTGCTCTACTAGTTAAGCTATGCAGTCTAAAAGAAGCATTTTTGCTGTATTTTTTCTCTGTATTAGTATGACAAATTAAGTAAATATCCTTAAGTAAAAGAAAGCACAGTAATTTAATGGTATAACTATGACAGTGGAGTCTTAATTCTTAACCTTATGTTGAATTTGAACTGAGCTTTTATTAGTTGAGAAAGATTGAGAAAGACACTGCGCCATGATTTTTTTTGTACCTCAGTTTAAAAATTTTAGAATGTCAGAAGCATGAATATTGAGCATTATAGACTTGTATTTAATTATGTCCCCTTAATGAAAGAAGGGTGTAGGGTGGATTTAAAAATACATCTACACAGTAGAATATTAAAAACAAAATAAACTAGAAAACCAAGTTAGAGTCTGAGATCCTCAGAACAAAGCTGTACAGGCGTAAGGTCCTGTATAGGTATTAGTTGTAATTCATATTTGTGTTTGGCCTTCTGTTGCCCAAAACGAAAAGGGAACTTGACGAGTTACATGTTTTTTATTGCCCATAAAGAAAGAATATACCAATTATTTGAGTGAAACAGTGTTTTTCTAGTGTTTTGTTTGGAAAGAAATTACTCATATGGTTTACAGGTAATATTAATTGAGTGATAGAGTAAAGATGAATTTCAGCAGCATTCCTGTTCATAGCAAAAAACTTTCTGAAAGTGCAGTTTTAAGTTTCACAAATATGTTTTTTGAAGTTTTCTCATGAAAGTTGAGAGTCTGTTATCAGTTGTTTTTCAGTGAAAGTGCTTATGTTGGGATGGGGGAGCATGGGCATCGGGAAGGTAGTATATTCCAAGATGTAGCTTTAAAAATCACATATATTGTGTTTTTCTTTTATTAGAGACAGAACATATTCTCATGGTAGAAAATTTGGAAAATACAAGAGTTTAAAAAGAAGAAAATAAAAATTACCAGTAATCCAACCATTTTGGAGAATACTACTGTATTAATATTATGCAGCTTTTAGATGGCTTAAACCGTGGATAAACTGAGGCTATCTAGACTAGAGGATTGGATAGGCTTGACACAGTCTTCCATCAATACCACTGTCCTCAACTGGTTCTGACAAGAAATGAGCTACGAATGTCTTTAGGTTATTGCCTCTTGCTAGGTCCAGAATTGCGTATACTCTATGCTGTTTGAAGCTGAGTTTGTATGCTTTCAAGGTCAGATGAATATGCTGTTTGAAGATGAGTTTGTATGCTTTCAAGGTCAGATGAACTTGGCTAGCTTCTTGTGAAAATTGAGGCACCTATCCTAAATCTTGTCTGGCAGAAGTTCTACTCTTCAGCTCTGAGAGGTGAGAGGCAAACCAGGGTGTTGCTGCTCTCTTTCATGAATGTTGAATGCTAGATACACAAGGAGCATCCTCCCCAAACCCTGCTGCAACAGGAGGTGAATCAAAGTAGAAATACAGAAGCCAAGTAGCTTGGCTAGGTAAAGGCCAAGAACAGGGTTGTGGATCTGTTCTTGTACCTCCTTCCTGATGGTCTAGCTTATAGTTTAACACCATCTGTGTTTTTAGTAGAGGCAGGTCAGATAGCATTGAGAACCTTTTGTTCTTTATTAAGCAATCACTAATATATATATGGGGTGCCTATTTAACATATGAAGTGTTACACCACACTAGCTTGCTGGTGTTTGCTATCTTCTCACATGTTGCTTATGTGATATACTTAGTAATGTAGGGATAATGTTTTCAGAGTCCATAGTATATGGAATTCCTGATCAAGATGATGTGACTTAAGAAAAGAACAAGTTGTCAGTAATTCAGATGTGCCATTGACACAGGATAACCCCTGCTCTGAAATGAACTTTTAGTTGAGTTACCAAGGTTGAGATGTTTTGAAGCTCTCACATTTGCCAAATGCTAGGTCTGCTGTGGGAATCTGACTGAGCAACTGCAGAGACAACTGGGAGTAAAGCATCCACCCTCCCCAAGTTTGGCAGGGATGTACTCCTGAGCTTTTCCACAAGGCCAGACTTCCTATCTGCAGTCGTAGAAGCAAGGATTAAGATGTTCAAAGAGAACAGAAATGGAACATTTAAAAATAATACTAGAAAAGAATAGAAGGATTAAAGTCATGAAATAATGCTAAAACTTCTGAAACAGTTTATTCTAAAAGAAAATATTAATCAAAACATTAAAAGAAAAAGATTCAGTGTAAAAAGATAACTTTGGCAAGATTAATATCTAAATTTTAAAGATAATACTGTAACGTATAACATGGCTGTTACTGTTCTGAGTACACACATTATCTTGTAAAACCCTCACAGTCATGTGAGGTAGGTGCTGCTTCCTCTTTACAGACAATGAAACTGAGGCATAGGGAGGACAAGCAAAGTGTCCGAGGACACTAGGTGGATGTGATGGAGCTGGAATTTGAACCCAGGCAACCTGGATACAGAATCTCTACTATGAATCACTATGGGAAGATGATGATAGAATAAAAGAGAATGTGAAAGTTGAAAAAAATTTTAAAATATATGGTCCAAATAGTCAAACATTTATAAGGAAATGATTATCCTTACAGGACATACAGATTAAAAACTATGGGTTTCTTTTTCATACCCATTAGATGGCAAAAATTTAAAAATCTTGTAACACCAAGTGTTTGAGAGGATATGGAACAAAGGAAACTCTCATACTCAGCTAGAGAAAATTTAAATTGGTACATCACCTTGGAGAGCAATTTGACAAGGTGAAGATGTACATACTCTCCAACCCATTTCTAGGTTCATGCCCTCTAAACTCTCAACATGTACCCAAAAAGATACGTACAAACCTTCATTATAGCATTGTTTTTATGAGTAAAGAAATGGAAACAACTAACTGTCCATTGATAGGAGAATGGATAGATGAATTATGGTATATTCATGCAATGGAATTCTATACAGCAGTTAAATTGAACGCATTATTGATTGAAAAAGCAAGTTACTGAATGATTTGTACAGTATGACGCCATGTATTAATGTTTAAAAACATGCAAAACAATATGCATATCCACAATTAATGCAGAGTATGTGTTAAAAAAAATTTTTTTAAATGCACGGGCATGTTAAATATCAGGGGAATGACTGTCTCTGGGGAGAGAAGGAGGGAAGGGGAATGAAGAAGGGAGGGGTGATAACCAGTGGGTGTCAACTGTAATAAACTACAAAAAGAGCTGAAGTAAAGATGGCAAAATGTTAATTTCTTGCTAAGTTGGTACAGAATTGGTACATTTTATTGTTATTCTCTGTACTTTTATGTATACTTAAAATATTTGATTAAAAGTAAAACAGTATAAAAATGTACATGGTAAGAGAAACAGAAGAAAAACAAAAACAGTGGTCACTAAACATCAAGTATAAAACAATGAAAAATGATATTGAAAGGCAATAAGTGTTAGTATTTTAAGGCCATTAGCAGAGGAGAGGAAGTCTGAAGTGAGATATATGTGGGGAAACAAATACTTCATGCAGAAATGGTCATGGTGTGGTTATGGTGATGATTTTAATGTTAAAATTGTACAATTTGCAAATAAAATCACCTTTACTAGCAAGGCCAGGAGCCTATCAGAATCCTCCCAGGTCGGTGGATATTGTGTTTGGAAATGGAAAAGCAAGAGATAGGGTTGGAGGACAGGAAGGGTAGGGGGAAATATGCTACCTTTTCTTCTTTTTTTTTATTGAGTTGGAGTCTCACTTTGTTGCTTAGGCTGGAGTGCCGTGGGACACTCATGGCCACCCCAGTGTCGACCTGCTGGGCTCCAGCAATCCTTCCGCCTCAGCCTTCCAAGTAGCAGGAGCTACAGGTGCGTGCTACCATGCCCGGCTAATTTTTTATTTATTTTTATTGTGGAGATGAGGTCTCACCAAGTTCCCCAGGCTGGTCTCAAACCTGCAGGCTCAGTCAGTCCTCTCGCCTTGGCTTCCCTAAGTGCTGGGATTACAGGCTGAGCCACTGAACCCAGTCCTGTGCTACCTTTTAAGCTCTTACTCCTGCTTCAACTTCTCACCTTCGAATCCTTCAGAATGTGCAATGTCTGTATCCCAGGATTCCTAGCTTGGATGAGATGTCCCTTTTTTCTTGGTATTCTAGAAGTATTCTTTTAAAATACAATTTGGTAACTATAGGGCATTTTAGAGTGATAGTTGTATTGGAAGCAATCAGAACTTTTCAGATTAGAGGAGAATCTAGGAAAAGGAAATCAGGCATATCTATACTTCCGTAGTTATACAATGTAGCTTATGCAATGTACATGATTGGGCTTTGCTCACTTACTGTTTATTATTGTATG